CCCAGCTCGGCAGGGACAAAGCGCTGCTCAACCCCATCGTACGCTGGGTGGGGGCGAACCCAGGGCAGTTTGGGATTTACCCCTGTACTTTTTAAATATTTACAAGAAACAGATACACAGAACTCTACAACCCTTAGGAACCCAGGGAAGGGAAGGGAGCATTGAGAACACAGCACAAGGCAGGCAGCAGGAGCAGCTGCTTTCGGATTCCCAAGAGAGAGGAGGAGGAGGAGGAGGAGGAGGAGAAGAAGAGGAGGAGAAGAGGAGGAGGAGGAGGTGCAGGACTAATGTTTTGGGCTCTGCCAAATCAGGTCCCTTTTCCCGTTTGCTTTCGCAGCTCCAGGCCCGTGCCCAGCTGCGGCTGGCGGGGCTCTTCCCCTCTGCATACTGGTGCGGGCAGGCGCTGGTGGACGTCCCCCTTTTCTGGACCCTGCTGTGCCTCATGTTCGGGGTCCTGCTGCTCTTCAACCGCACCTGCCCCATGCCGGCCAGCGCCATCCTGTCCCTGGTGAGCAGTTTCAGTGTGGGAAAATCAAATCCCCCTCCCTCATTTCACAGCGAGTATTTGCATTAAATATTTGAATCAAAACAGGCTGTTCTAGGCAGACTTTCATATACCCCCATCCATCTCCTGGTCACCAACATCAATCTCTCTGTCTCTCTCTAGATCATTTGTGTCACTGGTTATGGAGTATCTCTTGTCCTCCTCATCTATTTAATTGCCTTTAAATTTCGCATGGGGCGAAGCAATCGTTACATTTGGTCTTTTGTCTTCATCCTGGTAAGTGAAGTGAATCTTCATTCTGAAGTGTTTGATTTGCACATCTTGCCACTTGAGGTTTAATCTCAAATATATTGATAGTCAGCAGAATAACCCAGATCAACGACAAATCACCTATTTTTTGCAACAATATTAATATTGCAAATACTTTTTCTGCTTTATTCCAGGTGAATTTCACTCTCTATGTGACCAGTGACCTACATGAAACACTTTACTTCATCTTCTCCACTTTGATTCCTGTGTTTCCAATGCTGGGCTGCTTGATATTTGCTGTACCAGTAAGTAAACATGTCCTACTAAATTCAGTAATGGTGCAAACTGGAAAAACTTTCCAAATTTGCTGTCTCAGTGTGCCAAATAGACAAAGAATGAGAAAAGGCAACAGGAGAAGAAAATATCCAGGCTGTGGAGTGAGAGAAGGGACCAGGATCTGATTTGTCAAACCTTTGTTCAATTGGGATATTTTGGGTTTTTTTAGTTACAAGAAGCTGCTACGATGACTGTGTTTTGGCAGCCAGGGCAGCGTGGGAGGGGAAGATGGTGGGACGTGAAGACCTGAAGGGATGAAGTGAGCTGACAGAAGGAGACAAAAGGACTGGGAGGAGAGAAGCAATGATGGAAAAGATTGATCAGACCTGGCTGGTTTGAGGCACCTCTGAATGAGCCACAGCCAAGAAGCTGCAGCTCTTTGAATTTTTCTAACCGACTGATATATTTTTTTTCTTCTAGCGTTATTCATTCATCATCGGTGGTGGTTTTCTGGAGTCATGGAATGACATCTTCGTAGCTGTCTTTGCAGTAAGGAGCAATTTTATGATGGTTTTTTTGGAAAGGATGACTGTGATGGACCTGCGCTGGGCTTGCATCGCTCTCCCCATAAATAAAGCATGGGTTATGTGGCCAAAGTTTCACATTAAATATTGGCGGGGGAGGTACATCCAAATAATCATGGACTCGTGTGACCCCTGGATGCTGTACCACGTCTGGGAAAATGGTGGGGGGCTTAAGTGGAGCTCATGTAAAAGGCAGAGATGTTATTAATCAACTCATCGGTCTAATGCTGTTTCTACGAAAGACAGACACCATCTCTGGTCCCATGGGATGTCTGTTGGCTGCAGGTTAGCTCAGCTCAAACTGCAGCATGAAGTCAAGGCTTTTGCAAATGATCTACGTATGATGTATGAGACACATCAGTTTAACTTCTTCCCCTTTTGGACCTATGTGACTGTCTTTTAAATAGCTGAAGTCAGTGAGATAGGTCCCTGCATCCCCTTATAATTAAGATTATTTGAGTGTGTTGTTACCTTGTCTCGATACAAAACCAATTCATCTTTGCTTTTCAGCCTTACATCCACTGCGTGATTTTTGCCTTCCTCCTGCGCTGTTTGGAGATGAGATATGGAGAAGCAGTTGCCAGTCTTGATCCTATCTTCAGGTATGTGCTGGGTGCTGGGTCCCCCTCCAGAGACAAAGAGTGAGCTTAAAAACATTTTGCAAACTGTGGATAAAGCCCACATTTTTATTTTAACCCCTTTATCTGCAAAGGATGAAATGGAGAATGAAGGGAGGGACCTTTTATTTTCCCATTGGATCATTACAGTTTCCAACTTTACTTACTGGAGTTTTCCTGAATGCGTCTGGAGGCAAATTCCCACTGAGGGTGTTGCAATAGGTCGGTTGAACTGCGGTGCCCTAGAAAGAATAATAAATATGATTTAAGGGTTTTTTTAACTAGGATTCATAGCTGAGGTTTCAGGACATTTCACTACAGCTGGCTAAATTAATAGCCCCAAATTGAAATCCAACATTTTAACTCCTTTTCTGAAGTGTCAGTGTTGTCCTCTGCAGGATGAGGAGTTGCCCTAAAGCTTCATCACCATCATAGACTGGGTCACCTGCTACCTGTGCCCTGCTTATCTGTTGCCAATGGGATGTGACTGACCTCCAAAGTCATGTAGGAGATTTGTAAAAAGCATTAAATTGTCAGACAGTTAGATGGCCAAGTACTTTTGAAAACCTGCCCCATGTATTTTAATTCTCCTTGAACATTGGCATGTGGCGAGCAAGAGACCAGCCAACAAAGAAAGAAAAGCTGAAGATTACCTTTATTTTCTCATGCATGCCAGTAGGATAGTATTTTATTTCCCCCGTGAATAAATATTTGAGTGAATACTGTGCAACAGCTCCCTGAATTCAAAAATATATAGCAGGGTGCTGTGTTGGCACTGCCCTGGGAACAAACTTGTGAATTTGGGACCTTTCAGCAGTGATTCTGGTGACACCATCTCTCCCCCTCCGCTCGCAGGATCCAGCAGAGGAAAGCGGTCGCCCGCCAGAACAGGGACCCCCCTGGGGAGGAGCCCCCCGAGGTCCAGGCAGAGAGGGAGCGGGTGAGGAGCGCGATGGCCGCCCTGCAGCAGGAGGAGGTAACGCGCCCTTCTGACGTCTTGGCTCTTGCATTCATTCTCCATCCTCGGGTCTGTCTCTGCTTTCTTAGCTCATGCGCTGGTTATTTCCTGATCTGATGGCCAAACATGCATCTCACCATCCAGCCCACAGTCACCCTGGCACCAGTTTAGCTGGCACTATTTATTGCCATTCTGCTTTTTTTTACCTTTTTTTTCCCCCTGTTGTTCCATTTCCTGACTTTTAATTTTTTTTTCTTAATTTAGAAATGTTCTCTTTAAAGAGTCGCACTTAATGGTAAGAACAGACGAGCTGCCTCGTGAGACGAGAGGAGAGTTTTTATTTCCCCCTTCTCTCCACAGGAGTCGGTTATCGTTGTCAGCAGTTTGCGCAAGGAATATGAAGACAAGAAAGCCAGCTCCATCTTCAAGAAGAAGAAGAAAGTTGCTGTCAAAAACCTCTCTTTTGGTGTTAAAAAAGGTTCAAGTATTTTGCTGCACCCCCTCTAAATGACTAAAATCCAATGTGAAGGTCACATTTGGAGGCCATATTTTTGTTAGAACTTTATTGTGTGCAATCAGACCCAACGCACCTGCACTCCCATTCATCACTTTAATTTATTGGGATAAGTTAATGAGCAGCCTTTTCTCCTACTGCACTCCTAGATATTGCCTAGCGCACAGGGAAAAAGGTCTCGTTAATAATAATTATTATTGACAGTTCTTGCATATTTGTTCTAGGAGAAGTATTAGGTCTGTTAGGACCCAACGGAGCTGGAAAAAGCACGACTATAAATATGATTTCTGGAGACGTAGCAGTGACTGCCGGGGAGGTAGGTGATGCCTTTGGAGCATTTGGGTGTTGATCTTGATGCCTTTATAAATGAAGGATGTGATAAGGCAAGCTGGAAATGCAGCCCTTAAGTCAGGGAATTCATGTACATGTGACCCTGGGTATTTACAGAAGTAGTAAGGAGAAAGTGTTGATATATTCTAGATTTCGTCAAAATCAATGTTACAGATTTAAGAGTTTGGGCTCCACAAAATCTTCAGCGTGCAGTTGAAAACCATTGTGAAACTCCTCAAGTCTTGTAAGAAATGTTGACATCTTAAAAAAACCCAATAATAATACTCTTCATAAACAGTCTTGCAAAACCAGGAAATGGAAAACAAATGTGAACAGGGTTGGGCTACTAACAACCCATCATTAATTATGTGCAGGATGATTAATGACATGTGCAAGGGGAGGGGAAATACCATTGCTGTTACAGATTTGAGACTGAATGCTTGAAATAGAAAAGCATTACTAGGAAAAGATAATCTTATGTTGGTATTACTACCCTAAGCTTTACAGCAGTAAATGCTGCTTGGTTTTGTGGAAACGCTGTCCTGGGTTCAGCTGTGGTAGATGGAGATGATCAATCCAATGATGCTGGACCAAATTTCCCATGTGCTAATGAGGTTCCTCACAACACAAGGGAAACTGTGACTGGGTTTCGAAGGGATTCATTGATTCACCCCAAAACACCCATGGCCGTGGGTGTGTGTGTTCGTGCAGGTGCTGCTCAAGAGCCGCGATGCAGCCGTCCCCTCCCCAGGTTGCTTGGGCTGCTGCCCACAGCAGGACCCACTCTGGCTGGACCTCACAGTGCAGCAGCATCTGGAGGCGTACGCTGCCATCAGAGGGATGAGGAGGGAAGGCGCAGCTGTTGCCATCAGCCGGTATGAAGCCAAATGATTTCAGCTTTTGGTTCTTCCTCTCTCCACAGCTGCATGAACTCCATGAGCTCTCTCCACAATTGTACAAGCTTCAACAAGGCCAAGTGCCGGG